CCTTTCTGTAAAGTTCCCGGCTTCCACGTCACTCGGGACAGGACACTTGTCCACTGGAATTGAATTATCCGTTGTGTATATTAATGGGAGCTACATTTCCTCTACAGTGTCCTCTGGTTCTTTCTATATGCTCTTTGTTGTTTGCACATCACTGGGCCGCTCCTGTGCTGCGTCATACGACCAACTGCCACCAGCTTTGTACAATGTCTCATCTTTTTCCTATTATTTCAGCTGTCAAACTTCGCAGTCATATTCTCTACCCTATTTTTTGAATAGATGCTCTAATTTTCTATACATTTATATCATGCCTAATACAGGAGGGTTCTGGTGTCTGACGTGTCTCATTAATTTTAGTCTCAGTCAATGATTATTTTTGGGGAGGGGTGTTTTGTTACACTACATGTATAATTATAGTGGATTTTCTCTCTTACTACCCTGGCAAACCATTATTAAGAGTTTATTATTATATTAAAATAATTTATGCTGGTAAATTATTATTAGAGTGCAGATTCTCATTAATTCTGTTTCTTGTTAAAAAGTCACGAGATGCAATTTGGGCTGATCTGACCCTCTGCACTTAAATTAAAACATACCTGTGTGCACACTTGCATGCACACAGTGGTCATGCACACTCACACAACTCCTTGCTTTGCTCTGACCCCCTCCAAGGTGGACGTGCCAGATACGGTAGAGCTGGTCCCAGAGGAGGCGCTCCCATCTCTTGCAAGCTCTTAAGTTCTCTTCCCATGAGCCAGAATATTTCAGAAGTATTTTCAGAAATGCGGGTGCATGCGGTTGTCGGGAGCAGCTTACTTGGAGTTATGTTGCAATTTCACCTTACAGCAGCCGTGCTCTCAGGGGCAATTTTCTGTGTAGTAATTAATGAGGGAGTTTTCTCTGATGCTGCAGCATGATTCACGCAGCTTCCAAAAGATTAGTTTGTTAGTTACTGAATAAAATATTTGCAGATGTACTTCACTGTGATAACATCTCTGACTGGAGATGACGTGTTACAGACACAGGAGTAAAGATCTGCAGGGCCAAACTGTTACTGCATGACCCAGAACTTTAGGCTCCCCCAGCAGCTAGCATGACCCCAGAGTCAGCGAGGGGAACTGTTCCTGGCTTTAACTTGCAGTGAGTTCTGCGGTCGGGCCTGGGCGGAAGAAAAAGTAATTTTGTCTCTTCTCCTCACTGCTGCCTGTCTACAGTAGCAGGGAAGGAGGGACAGCAGTCATTTGCTCTCCCTAAGAGCTGGAGTGCTCTTGTGGAGGGGCAGAGGGTGAAGACACCTCTGCTTGCTAGCTCCCTTTCCTAAAACGGAAAGCGAAAGTGGGCCAAGTGATACCAAACGCTTAGCGCAACAAAGTTCGTGCTTCCTTAGTATCTTGCTTCATGGGTTAAAGGTGAGCTTGGGACAGCCAACTGTAGCCTCGTAAGAAACCAGTTCCCGTTAGCTTCCATGTTGTTTTCTTTTCTGTGGTGTCTGTATAAGCGTTTTTGAATAATGAGGCACTGTTATCAAACACTAGGTTGCATTGGAAACACACAGCAGTTCTGCCTTTTGCAAGTACCCAAGACATGGGATATACAACCTAATTCCTTTGTCTGGAATACTAATACTGATCAACTTTGATTAATATTAACCTTAAACATGCTACTCCTGACTTGTGCCAAAGTTAGCTGCAAGAGAGTCAGAGCTGCAACCCGTGAATGAAACTGGAATGGATTTGAGACTATACACTTGGCAGCTTAAATTGTGAAGCGTAAGGTAAGTAGGTTTTAGAAGTCATTTAAATTAGTGTCTTCCGATGGTGTCTGCAGCAGGAGAATGCTTGAAGACTCATTAGCTGATAATTCATAGTGAATACGTGCTGTGTGTGACTTTTAGCAGATGGTGTGAGTAGGGACTGAGCCCATTTGCGCGCACTGGGTTTAGCCGTAGCTGGCACTGGGACTGAAAACTATAATGCACAGAAGGAAATATGATTTAACTCTGGGACCCTTGACCTCTGAGTAGGAGCAGGGGACTGCTTCTTCAAAATGCGTGAAGTGATCAAGGTTTTAGCAGTAGAGGGGATAGCTGTTTCTTCTCTGGGCCTTGTGTAAAAACTGCTTGGGAATTAATCCATTGCTTTGTTTTGGCATCCTTTATATTGATAGAGAAACATTAGGAACAAGCATATTACCGAAAGCTCCTTCTGTGGCAAAAGACCTTCAGTTAGGAAGTACAAGACAAAATAAAAATAAAATTCATTAATCATACCTTACCATACCATATGTAAAGTAATCAGGCTAGGATTGTCTTCAGTTTTGCTGGCCTAATAAACACACTGTCTATCAGAAGCACTTGTTTCAATGATACAAAAATGAGAGGGACCGCTTTCCTTTACGGATGTTCAGTGGTTTACAGAAAAGAAAATTCTGCACCAAAATTAGCCTGAAATTTGCAAAACTCATCAGTGCTTGAAGTGGGTCATGAAACGAGCAATGTAATTCCTTCGGGTTACTCCTAATGCTATATTTGTGTTTATGGATGTGTTGGCCTTGGTTGATGGTAGGTTCTGCTTTTGTAATTTAATTTAATTTCTTTCTTATTATAGGCACACAGGTTGCAAATCTAGTAATAAATTTCTGCAAATATTACTTTGGGAGGCATCTGTTCCTTAAGGAAGCCTTAGAACCAGTGTTTGCTTTGTTTATAAAATATGCACAACGTAAACAGTCGTGGAAGATCTTCTGCAAGGCTGGGGATGTGATGACATACAGGGACATTACAAGCCTTCAGGTCAGGCAGATCTGAATGAGTAGTTGGAAAGAAATCTGACAAAATTCCATCTTTTTAGGGGCTTATCTGGTCACAGGTACGGTGACACCATGGTAAGTGTTCCTGATTGCCCTGATAGCTAAGGAACGAGATAAAGTGAGTTTGCAGCAAGTTCACAGAAGGAACCGTATAAGGGAGTTCCGGTGTGTGCATGGCTTGCTTTATCCTTGTGTCTCTGTACTAGATGGCGACGTCCTGCGTCAGTACAGGCAAGCTGCCTAGATGCACAAAATTCAGTGGGGTTGTGGTTTATGTCAGTTGAGGGTTTTCTCCTGTAAGGAGAAGTAGCCTTAGACAGAAAGAGATGTGTCGTGTGACTGAGATTTTTCTTATTTGCTTTGTTCTGGCCATTAGATCAGCTGCACTCTTTGTACTTTGAAGGCTATAAAACGTTACGTAAACACATTGCATGGCACATCCATCATGAGCTTACTTAAATCTGCAGCATCCAGGGAAGGGATGATCAGAGATACCCCATGCCTGGGGCCCCTGCAGTGGTAGAGGATGGATGAAGTGAGATAGGCCTGAATGATGCCTGTGGACAAACCATGCCCCAGAAGGCAGAGGGGTGAAAATCCCTGGTTTCACCCTAGAAGGTCCTATTCAGCCCTGTATTTGGCAAATTGCAGGCGAGAGGCATCTAGGGATATTTTTCTATGCATCCATCCTTTTATTCAGCCTTATGCAGTCTCCTTTCTCCTGACATGGTCCTTCCCAATAGTTCAGATGGTGGAGAAAGAAAGAACAAAAAACACAGACAAAAATACATCTGTCCCCACTTGTAAAAGCATTCCTTCCTGGCCTCTTGGACTGGCTGGCTGTGCAGTATCCCTGAAGCAGGCAATCTGACTGTAGGGGGTTTTGCTGCAAAGCTGCATCAAAGCTGCAAGAGGTTCTCAGAGGGCAATGTAAAGCTACTCTTTTTCCCCATGGTCCATAAAGAGAAGACATGATTAAGGGAACTATATTACCCTTATTCCAAGATCAGAAGGGACCCCTTGACCATATTCTTTTATCTTCTGCAATTTTCCCTAGACAGTGCATTAAAATATATATTATTTATTATAATGTATATTATAAAAATGGATACTATAAAAGATAGCTAATCCGCAATTTTGAAGTCCAAGAATCTCTATTTAAGAACTATTTTAGCTGTCTGGATGTGGTCCTGGGCAACTGGCCCTGCTTGAACATGGGGGTTGGACAAGATGACCTCCAGGTGTCCCTTCCAACCTCAACCATTGCTGTGATTCTGTGAACTCCATGCCAGTCTCTACCTCCTCTGATCAACTGTCCTCATATTTAGTTCCCTGCTGTTTAGTTTTTTCATTATTCAGGTAGTCTGATATCACACCTACAGTAGAGAATTCTGAGGTTTTGGTTGGTTTGGGATTTGATAAAGTGTTGTATTTTGGTTATGTTTGAGCAGTGGCTTTATGCAACTTAATGTTACCAAAGATGAAAGGTGGTTAAGCAAGCCCCCAATTTGATTTGCCACCATTTTTGCATTTTGCATTATCTTTGTATTGTGCACTGTTGCAGTGTCAGTGGGACATTGCACATGTATGGAGTTAAGCAGATCAGTATGTGCTTTTCTGGGTTAGGACCATAAAGTTTGGAATTTATATAAATGATCACTTATTTATATTTTGCTAGACCTAAAGGGTGGGAAAATAGGATGGAAAAGATTATAATTTTCTGCTGATTCAAAAAATGTTATTTGGCAAGAGTGCTATTCCTTTCAACTGCAAAATCAGAAGAAAGGTAACTCCATAAGAGGATGGAGTGAGATGACTGTGCAGTCAGCTCAGATATGTTAATTTGGGTTATGTGTGTAGAGCAAATGATGCCAGGATAAGCAAACCTCACTTAATTCTTAGCAATTACCTGCGATTTATGACAGAATTACCAGGATGTAGCTCTTGGTTGAATCTTAACCAAACTGAACTGGGGTGACATGTTGTCATACAAGAACAAAGATGTCTGTGAGAGAGAGAGGTAGAAAGGGGTATAATTTTATTCTCCACCTTTGAAGTTGAACATTTTTAGTGACATTTTTTGTAAACAATGCGAGATTTGAAGGAAGTAGCAGTGGCCTAGTCTTGGGGAAAAGAAAGCAAGTCTTAAGTTCCTTCATCCATTTAAATAGAGCTTAAATTGTTTCTTTTATAAGGGATCTTGGAACCACGTTGTCCCACCTCCATGTCCTATGGATGGCTTGCTGTGGGCTCTCAGATTTAGATGGGATCTCTTCCTGCAGATCTCTAAAAGTAAGTGTAGATGTGTCCTGCCAAATGACGATCTCAAAACTATCTTCAGTTGATACTCTTTACTTGTAGCCTTTGTTCTCTTCTCACCCTTTTTTTTGATAAAGGACTTTGGTTGGATGCCTTCAATTGCTTGTGTTAGTTTAAAAGACACTGCAGTATTTTTTTTTTTAATGAGGAGTAACATTCAGGTCTGATCCTGAAGATGCCTAATGCAGCATAGAGTTCGTTGTTATATTAGCCCTAGCTATTTAAGGCCACACTTGAAAAATGTTCACTTCCATGCTAATTTCATGCTGTACCATGTAATATTTCAAATATTAGAAAACATTTTGCAAAGCTTGAGTGTTACTTGTGCAATCCTGTGGTTTTCATGTTTACTTCTGCTGAGGAACTCTACATAGCCTATAACAACATCTCGGACCTGAGCCAGCTGACCTGGTTGGATCACCTTGAGGTTTTGGACCTGGAAGGGAACAATATTGAGGACATCAACCAGATGCAGTACCTGGGACTTTGTTGCAAGCTGAGCCGCCTGACGGTGGAGGGCAACCTTATTTGTCTGAAGCCAAATGCAGAATCTGCAGAGGTGAGGACTTGGTTTGCACATATTGTGTTAATTTTTGGCCGTCCTTTTTTAGTTTGAGTTGGAAATGAGAAACATTTCTGCATCTTCCTGTTGTATCATTCTGAGTAATGTCATGGCATGCATTTCCCATCTTTCATTTCTGTTGATTTTGTCCTCTCGTGGGTATTGTCTCCAAGATGACCACAAATGAAATACAAGAAGTGCTAGTAAAGACTCAGGCCTGTTCGCTAGCAATCTGTTCCTTCTTTCCTGTGGGGATGGGATTAAACTAGAAATCAGCTGTTCTGATCCATACAGCTGTTCTGTTGTCTCCCAGCTTGCAGTGCAAACAGGCATCTTAAAGGAAAACTAAGGAGAGCGTGGACCCCAGCTGTATGGATCCTTCTAGCCTGTGTGGATCTTGCAGCAGGTTAGAAAGTAGCCAGTATTTTTCTTACAAGATGTGCCAATTGCAATATCTCAATTAGATATCTGTCTTTGGGCTTTTGCAGTTCTTTTGGAGGCTCTCCAGTCCATCAGCAAGTGCTCCGGTACCACCACCCTCAGAAGTTGAACCCTCAGAAAAATGATGCTTGAGATAACTAGGAAAAGCTGTATTGTAGGAACTGCTTGTTGTCCTTTTCCCTGAAAGGTTAAAATCAAATGACCAAAAAGACCTTCAGCAAAAGCTGAAGATATAAAATACAGTGATTCAGCTCTTACATACTGAAATGATAAATCATTTTTGCAGAGGTATTTTGTTGAGGGCATGAGATCCTCTGTGTCACAAAGATGAAAACACAGTAATATGTGATCTGCTTTGGGTTTCAGGTCACTCAACAAGAAAAGTAAGGGAGATCTAGTTCTACATGAACAGTCTCAGATCTGTATTACTCTCTTTCACTTTCCCCTGCTTCAAAAAAAGGCATTGTTGGGATATAAAAACAAGCATCTTGGCATGTACTGAGAAGGTAACTGGAGGAAAATCAGAGTTTAAAAAACTTGGTCAAATAAGACTGTTCCTCATTTTGGTCACATAATGTCTAACTCATGTCATCAGATGACAGTTTAAGGCCAGCACACTATATATTGTCATCCAAGTCTTTTGGAAGGTCACAAGCCTGTGCACACACACCTAGGTACGTAATGTGCAGCACTCACTAAGGATGGCACAATCCCCAGTGGCACTGTAAAGAGCTGCTAACACAGGGGTTAGAAAGCAGAGCAGGAGCTGGTGCTGGGACTCCACTGTGCCATGTTCCATAGCTTTGCTGTGCATTTCAAAGTGATCACGCCCATGCCATTAATTTGCATAAAAGTTTGGGGTTGATATTCGTCCTGGATTTAGACTTGAAAACTGAGGTGCTATCACTAAAACTCAATCGTGTAGTAGACATGCACGTATTTTAAGTCTTCGCACTTTTTAGATACATGAGTTATTAGCATTTTTCAGATGTAATTGTTGGCTTGGTGGTATCCCTCAGTAAAAGCAGCCACAGAAGGTAGTGCTTTAGCTATCATAATTTTCCTCTGTGGAATCCAAATGAAAACATTATACACTTGCCTTTCTGTTTTGAACTGGTAGAAGTATACTTCAGAGTCTACACCTGTAACTATTTGTAACCAAAATGATTTCTCCATCAACATTTCTCCCCTACAGAAGATGAAATCATGTGAGGAAAGAAAACATATTCCTACAGTAAGGAAGCCCTGCCTGCTTCTGATGGACAAAGCATGCCTACTTACTCTGTTTACTCCCATGGAGACAAATACAACTTCTGACACTTCCTTATCATAGCTTCCTACCATGAAAATGGTGCAGTGTATCCTAACAGCATAGAAAGTCTGTTTCTACTCCCTTGTCGCTCCTGCTCAGCGAAAGTCATGTTTTTGGAGCACGTAGTTTTCACTTGGCATCTTCGGTTCTTAAATGTACTTGTAATGGAGAAATGTCAGATTGTCCTTGGTTTGTTTAGCTGAGGAAATCAGTCCTTGGGATGCTGCTGCATGTTTGCGTGTAACAGGAGTTCAAAGGGGAGGAGTAGGTATGTGGTGGTGTGCCCTGTTGCTTTTCTCCATGCTGAATGGCTGTCTCTACTCCTGTGCAAGTAGTTGCATTCAAATGCCAGCCAGAATTTGTTGAAGGATTCTGCACAGTGGTATGTTTTACACTGAACTGTAACAGAGGCAGACTGTAAGTTCACTGTAGTCTCCCACCCAGTATCCATGTTGGGAAGCTGCTAAGCCCTGGGGTGGTTACAAAGCCAGCCCTGCCCTCAGCTGCCAAGAGCTTCTCCATGGACTTTGTCGCTTTCTTGGTTTCAACTGATGTTTGCATTTCTTCAGGGTATAGAAAAGACACCTGAAATATAGAAAAGAACAGATGTGGGCTTACTTTGGTGTGCCCTAGATGGCCAGCTCTATTTCTTCAAGCTCCTTCTTGTAGTCTGGTCCTTGCTACAGCTCTGTAAAAGCTCTCCTATCTATTTACTTGTAAATGGTCCAGCAAAATTTACTGCTCTTTCTTCAGATGGTCTGTTTGCTCTCTGTAATTTGATTTTCAGATGAGCTCATCTTCCCCTGTTATCTAAACCAAGAGCAACAACCTGATGATAAATTCTGCAGCCTCTGTTGCAGTAATGTAACATGAGCGTAACACGATGCTTCTCTCCAACAGGACATGGCTGGAAATTGGCTGTAGCCCAAGCAGTGTTCAGAGTACATGTGGTACAGGGTAGCATGGCAATCGGTTGACTCATTTTCTAAATTAAGATTAAAGGCTTAGTTAGAGAAATTTAGTGTCTGCCTCTTAACAACAACAAACACACACTTTATTTGGTGAGTTCCCTCTGCCAGCCTCAGTGCTGCATCGTGTGGAGGGAGGGAGCATATAGACAGCCAGGTCCCACAGAAAGCTTTCAGTTTGTGATAACTCTGTGTTGAATGAGGACTTGGCTTTGTGGGGTTTTCTAATATTGCATGCAATGTCTTGAAAAGCGTAACATTGATCTGGATGAAGCAATTGATTTGCAGGTAGCTGTCCATTCATATTCTGCCACTAGCAGTAAATTCTTGCTTTATACTTTCTTTAAGTAGAAGAGATTGCCATCAGTGTTTGCTACCTTTTGTAATCTGAGACTATTTTAACCAAAAATATTCCCATTGCAAAGCAGCACAATCCAGTGAGCCCTGAGGTATTGCTAAGTTTTCCCAAAGACGAAGGTGCCACGTGAAGGTGTCTTTCTACCACTGGAATCCACTAAAACAGCCCAATTCGCGGTGTGCTCTGAGCACAGTTGTAACTGCTCTGGATTGGTCTTGCTGCTCAGAGGTCCCCAGGCATTGGCATGTGCTCATGAATCATTTCCTAACATGTCAGCTCCACCCACCCACACAGAAGGGGGCTGCACCCATGCTTTCCCCCATGGCTGTCACACTGAGTCCATGTGCATTGGGAGCAATCACGTTGTTTTTCCAGCACACAGAAAAGAAGCCTAAGTGCAGCCCATTTTAGCCTTCTATGCACCTGCTGTTGGCATGCGACCTCTTGCAAAAGCAAATGTAGTTTGAAGTAAGCCATCGCTTCTAACGGTGTATAAAATCACACACCAAACCCCTGAAGACTGCCACAGAAAATCAGTGCAGTTCATTCGCTGTAGCTGGTTTATGGGTGTGCCTAAAACACAGTCCATGGAAATGCTCTTTCTTTTTCCATCAACAGGTGTAGCAACACTCATAACATTTTCAAGTCTTCCTGTCACCTGAGTATTGATGCAGCAACCAGGGAATCACAAAAGCAGGGAGAGAGGCTGGCTGAATGTTGAGGGTGCCCAGGCTTTCCACGGGCATCAGTGGCCTTCTGCACTTTTGTACCTTATCAGAATATAACAAAGACAAATGCCAAAGTCATCAGTGGGTAAACAGCAAAGGAGCCTTTGCGCAGGGGGCATGTGTTTGCACTGCTCAGGACATGTTCACAATCAATTCAAGTAGAAATAATGTGAGGAGAAAGCACAGTGAAATCGAAACTCCTGACTGTATTTCTGTTGAATGAGGTGAATAGGTTTGCCTCATAGAAGGCGTTTCAAGTTATACAGCAGTCATACAAATTGAACACTGCTGTGCTGCTGGTTGAAGTCCACAGTCTGTTAAATAAACTGTTCAAGTGACCACTTTCTCAATTTCTCCAGGAACCAGATTATAATTACAGAGCTGAAGTAAAAAAACTCATTCCCCACTTGGAGTATTTGGATGAAATACCAGCAAGGCAAACTGCTCTCCTTCCTTCCAAGAAGATGCATGAGGATTGGCTAATCATCAAGGAATCCATCAAGGAAGGTGGTTTAGCTGGAGACATTTCATGGTTAGGTATGTCAAGTTTCCTATCAGGGTTTATTTTTCAGGTCATGATGTGTGAAAAAGAAAGACGAAGAGCAAGATGGCCTCTTCAAAGCCGATGTTTAATTATAGCGAAGGGATGAAGGACATTGTCTTCTTCACTTGGGAAGTGAGGAAGCTGGAATTCAGCATGGTGCAGATTTAAATGAAAGCTGGCCTAAGCTGGGCATCAAGATCAGAAAAATGCAGATGACTTCTAGAGCAAATCCAAGGAGTAGCTGGGAGTCTGTACTTAGCGTTCATTCTGCATGATGGGAAGAAGCAAAGCTTGGAAAGGAATGTTTCAACAACAGGTGTTCACAGCCTTTTCCATGGTAGCAGTCAATCCTATGTAGCATGGATGTAGCAGGATTTCCTACTCCAATTTAATAATAGGAAAGACAATTTGGTCACAACCCCTCAATGGTAGCAACATCCTAGCAACTGAGATTGCATCGTCTTGTAAGAGATCTGTTCCATTTTCTTTGCCTCTGTGATTAAGTCCATTACATTCATTAGTAGAGAGTAAATGGTTTGAAAATAAATCTGTTGTCCCCTTGCCTGTAGCCGTGATTATAGTTCAGATGTCCATGCTTTTATGTATCATGCTACATGCACTTTACCACGTACCATTAAATATTACAAAGTATTTCCTATAACTGCTCCTGTTGCTTCCCATTAGTGTGGGCAATGCAGTTGGCTTCCCAACCCCCCGACTTGTGGTTTGCCTGCCAACTGTACTCCATTAAAAATTTAGTTTGTTTTGGAATAAGTACATATGTTTGTCATTTATTTAATCCCTGTGGGTCCAAATCATTAGTTGTAATAGTAGTTATGGTGGGGAAAAAATCCATTAAAATCTGATCCCTCAGTGATCCTGCTTTGGCAACATCAGCTATGGTTCAGAAAACTAGTTAACAAAGTGAGCTGACAGAAACAGTAGGGACGGAGCACAAAATAGTGAATTTTTATTGTTTCCTGGTGTAACCGGACTTACATTCTTGCCTTCAGCTCTAAACTGATGAGTTCATATGGTCAGGTTCAGACATCCCTGTATTTTTTTCTTTCCTATTGCAATGTTGACTCGGGTACTTTTCATGCACTCTGTATTTCGTGGGTCTGTATTAACAACTATGGCAGAGGTATTTTAAAGTTCCCTGACACTCAGGTCTTAAGGAAATGGCCATATTATTACAGAGCTGATTGCTCCACTGTGGAGCTGGTAGATGCTCAGCACTTTACGAAGCACACTAATCATCTAGGCACCAAAATGAAATTTGCTGTCCTGTGGGTTGTTGACTGCACATGCTGCTCTCACGGCTGTGCTGTGCTCTCAGGACAGTTGGGCAGGTAAGAGGACAAGGCTCTGTCTGCCTTCATTAGCTTTTGTATAATCTACCCTGCCCTGTAGCATTACCAAAACTCAGTTTTCACCTTTCTTTCTGTGGTAGAGAAGTATCTGTCTCTGAGGCAGCACTGGGAAAATCAATCGCTGCCATTCCCAGATTTCTGTAACTACTGGTACGTGGCTTGTCCCCATTGACTAATAGCTCTGGTAAGGTGGCCATCACCATCTGCATTGTGCCTGGGCATTTAAGCAATATATTTTAAGACTGGGGGTTTGGACTGTGCGTGTGGCAAGCCTGCAGTGGTTCTCTCACAGGCAGGTGGGCAGCAAATGAGAGGCAGCTTACTCTTACTCTAGGCATGCAGGCAGGGGAAGTAGCAGAGCCCTGGACACGTCCAGGCTCACCCATGAGGTGGTTGGAGGTGGGTGGCGAGCACAGAGTGGTTCCTGACCCCAGACTCAGCCAGCAGCCTGTCTCTGGAGTCCAGGAGCAGGAGGAGGGTGGAAAGGGACTTTGCTTTAGTTGGGGGTCCCCACGTTCTGCCATCTGCAGAGGACAGCTACGGGGGACTGCGTGCAGCACCAGAAAGCCCTCTGTCTCCAGACTTGACCCATTCCAGCATGTTTCTTGTAGCGGCAATAACATGTTTTTCTATCCCCTACAGCTCCAAGTGTGCAGCAGCAGTCGCTGTATTGGCAGTGTAAGGTGATGGTGTGGTTAGCGTTGCATGACTGTGCTTACACTAGTGAAACCTCTCTCTTAGATCCATATCTTGGGGCAATAGCAAGGCAGTCTGGATGCAGCCCAAGACCCCCGACAGCTTCCAGACCTGGAACCGCGCAGTGGTCTGCTAATGCAGGGAGATCTAGCAATGCCCGTCTCTTGTACAGTGGCTGTCCTCTTCCAGATCCCACTGTTTCTGATGAGCTGTTCACAAAAGATGACTCTAGTGATTTGACACATGGTAATGTATGTTTTTTAATCCTCTTCTTTCCCACACCTCCACCTTCTTCTAAATGTTTTTATTGCTGGTGAAAACCTGGGTGCTTTGAATACCACCCACCCATGCCGCCGCTAGATCAGATTCAGCACATATTTTCTTCCATGGGACTCACCTGCTCTTCCATGTGCCTTCCTTTATTTCCCCCTGCAGCAGAAGGTGCAAGTCATCTGTGCTTTGCCCTCCTCAGCCCCTCAGCCCCATCCATTATGTGCGGCTGTCCCTCTTGACAGCCCCATGCTGCAATGGTGCTCCCTTACTGAAGTCGCCTTTCACACCTCATCAAAAGCTGTCCTGCGCAGTGCTTTAAATTACACCTCAGCCTAGCTGGGGCTCACTTACGTCACACCTGGGCACATCTTCTTCAGTCATAGGAATGTGCTCCAAGGTAGTCCTCCAGAAGGGCACGGTGATACACATTCACTCCCTGTTGGATCACGTCCTCAAAACTATGTGTAGGTGTAGTGCAGTCTCACACTGCAGCAGCATCACTGCTGTCAATGAGCACTTTCTTTTGGGTTTCCAGTGCTGGGTCCCTCAGCAAGAGGAGTCAGTTCCTTGACTTCACATACCTGCTCTACAGGCTAGCCCAAAACACAGGTGTACCACTGCCCTTCCTGCCCTGGCCACCCAGTACTGCCAAGTTAGCAGCTCCTGGAGACAGCTAGATGGAACGGGCATTCACTTCTGGTACAATATTTGGCACTTCCCAAGACATCCTTCCCTGTGTCCTCAAAAGACCTTGATGGTGCAACTCCACCGGCCCGTAGAGTGCAGATTAGATAGGAAGGTGGTGTTTGTTTTCCCAGCATTGTGGGCTGCTTCTCTCTGATGACAGTCCCACCTCAGTTCCTTGCTCTAGGTAGGAGTCAGGATGATGAACTAGATGAAGCAATGCAGTGTGAACAGCTGAGTGCGCATTCAGAAATGTGGAAACCGAGTACAGCTTGCTAGGGAATGAGGCCATAATTTCACATGCACTTTTAGGTAGCTAGCTCTACTGATAGAGACAGTTTCACCCAATGTTCACTGCTTCTTCCTGCCCACTGCCTTGTTTCTTGTTTTGGCAAGACCATCTGGATAGGCACATGGGGAACCTAATTCTGAGTGGGATCCAGCTAAAAAATAACCCAGAAAAACAAACACACAAAAAAACCCAAAAAGGACGTTTAGTTTTAATCTTGATATGTTCCCTGATCTGACTCACCATGTGGCCACTCAAATGTTTGCATCAGCACAGTGGAGGGGGCAGGGCAGGAGCAGGAGGAGACAGGTTCTGGTAGAAACAGAGAAACTGCATCTTAGCAGCAATGTCAGGCCATGCTAACTGACACTGTGAACCTACGCCATGAAATATTGCATCTTCCTGTCTATGGGAAATGATGTTGTTTGATTTCAAAGACAGCACCATTTGTTAAATGCTGGAGTAAAATGTTTTCTTTTTTCCTTTTTTCTTAGGACTCAGTCAAGTTATATGTGGGAACCCCACCAAGGCCCTTCGTGCAAGGAGGCAAAAGCTAGGTGTATGTTTTTCTTGTATACTTCATATTCCTGCCTGGTGACCCCCATAAATCCTGGGATAAACTGAACTCCCACTGTGGTCTGTGGCAACTCACTCTCTAAGCCCCCCAACATGCAATTGGCCTTGAGGAGGACGGAGAGTCTCTTGTCCTGATGTTACAAAGGTGCCCATGTGCTAGCAGCAATTAACCATCAGCTGTAAAGGAAGACGTGAAAATCACCTATCGGCTGCTGGCAGCAGATTTCCTGTTGTCCTGGCTAAGCAAAGCACAAGGCAGGATTGCAAAATTTGACAGGATTTCTACAACAGCTATTAGGCAAAAGATTTTTTTCAGCATTATTTCTTTGATGTTGGCATAAATAGTCAGATTGCTAATGCCGCAAGGTCGTTCCTATTGACTAAACAAACACAAAGCCAAAGTTTGTTCCTCTTGGCAGTGGGGCGGTACCCCAGCCCTGCAGTTCAGCCTGGTCCTTTCGGCAGTAACTTAGTGAGAGGATACCCACGTGTGTAAAGGGCTGCAGTCTGGCTCATCATGGTTAGCTTTTGTAGGCCCTGAGGTTCAACATGGCATGGATACATGTGCATACATTTAAACAGGCTGCACTGTTTAAATCAGAGAAATGGCCTGCACAGGACACCTGCTTGGCAGCCTCGCTTAATGCTGACAACAGATGTTAAAGAACCGCTAGAAAAAATGTGTCCCTCCCTTGTCTCTCTGCTGCCACTGCCCGAGCACTGGAAGCTTTTCTGAAACAAATTTGAACATTTGAGTGAATTATTGTGTGTTATAAACTAGGATGTGGAAGGGAACTGCAGTCATATGCTGAATGAAGCAGTTCCTGTCGCACTGGTCTTAATATGCTTATTGGTATAGATGCTACAGGCTTATACACCAGCGAGATATAAATCAACATTTTTCTTACTGCCACCCTGGGTTCCTCAAGCTGTAACAGTGCACATGACTGGGGCATGGGGCTTCTTAAAACTGAAGGGCAAGAAAATGGTGAGGATGATCTGAAAACTCAGGAGTAACAGCAGACTTTGATGCCTTCTAAAATCCACAATCTAGAAACAGAGCTGGGGAGAGCTCCTGAGGTTATCAAGATAACTTCTGTCATTTTTGCAGTCACCTGCAGTGAGCCCTTTGAAAGTATGCGGTCTGAGGACAGAAAACTTTTACGGCTCTGGAGGAGCAGGAGACCTGCACCAGGAAGATGTGTTCTCTGAACTGAGAATATGGAGAGAGCAGCACAAGTGGTGAGACCGCAGGAGAAATCTTGTCATGCAATAAGAGGGCCATTCATTTTCTGCTGTAATAATAAAATAAACTCTTTGGCCACCTGGTGGTGGTTTCAGGGGATAGTCTTGGCCTCCTGCCTTCCTGTCCCTGTGGTGGCCATCCTTCTATCAGTCCTGCCCACTGAAGCATCTGTGGGGAGGGCAAGGGAGAAGAAACCTGGGGGAAGCTCTGACCTCTCTCTAGAGCAGGCTGAAGACCAGCATAGGCTGGGTGGGCTTGCTTGCTTAGCGAGAGCATGGAAATGAATTTTCATTCTTGGCCCTGACAGTGTCTGCCTTCAGACAGCAAAAGAAGTGAAAGTTGATGAGGTTTTCTGCAAGGATCACGTTGGCTTAACCAAATGAAAGGCTGAAAGGAAAATAACGCCATGCTAAGATTCCCCCATCTCATAGACAGATAATGGTTGTTTTGGAAGTAAAAATGGCTTTATTTCTCTGAGCTTACTTCATTGTGTAGTATTTTAAAATAGCCCCATTTCACTTGATTAACTTTAGGACACTTTCAGATAATCAGACACAGGCAGCTTAGATGGCTGATCCATTTAGAATGATTTTCTGTATCTCCAGGAAAGTGGGAAATCACAGTGGGTGACTAAATCCACTGCCTGGGTGTTTGCCTGTGTGGCCATGCGCCATGCCAAGCTGCACTTGGCTGGCTACATATTCACAACTTATAGGCTAACTAAAGGTGTGATACTTGATGTTGTCCAGGTGCCTGCAAACAGGTCAGCAAGAAAAAGCCATCCAAGCACTGAAGGTAACTCTTAGTGGTGAGGAAGAGGGTGAAGACTGCAGCCTGATTGACAGCTGTGAAGATGAGTTGAGGGAGACCTGTGATGAGGACCTCATTGAAAGGATTTCACTTGATTTTTCTTGCCAGTCCTGTCTCTCCCAGTCTTCCTCAGGTACTGGACCTAAACCTCTGGGGAAGAGTTAGCTTAGGTGACATATGCTACTAACCATTTGTAGATAGATGTATTAGTAACTGCAGTGTTTTACGAGATCTGGCTTCTGTGCTCTAGAGCAGCAATTTGGAAATAACATTGCAAAGCCAGACCCTAAGTAATCTATTCCAGTTTTTAAGCAGGACATGGTGGCCAGCTGTGTTGACCATCAGGTGATATATTTCAGCATGGATCTGTAGAATTAAGAGGAACAAAGCTGCTCTTGCACCAGCTTAGCATCAAGTCTAGAAGAAGGACATGCCTCTGTCTTTTACCTTGTGTCATTAATTTATGGCAGTGCCAGGTGAGTCTAAAATACTGTTGTTCCAACTAAGCTATATTTTACCCCATTTGGCACTGATGGAAATAATGGCTGAGCTAATGACTGAGGTTTAACTGGGCAACTGCAAATTCTGGAAAGATATGCAACCAAAGGGATGCATTCAGTAAAGAGTTTAAAAATGAAACGTGCTCTTCTACTCAGGAACAAAGCCAAAGGCCTCTCTGGAATTGCATTTACATAAATGAAAGCAGAATTCCTGCTCTTCGCTAGTTGTTGAATATTGTACTTAAGAATATTAGAAACATTAATAATGGTTATTCCAAATACATATGAAGTAGAGGAGCTTACAAAAGTACAATTTTAATCTATTTCTATTGTTAATCACCTTTTTTTGCCTTAAAACTATTAGCATGTGAATTTTCATTTTACATTTCTTGCAAGGGCAAAAATGGATCTATTAAAATTTGGAAAAATATAATATATTTTGGAAAAAACAGAAGTATCATTAAACTATTCAAAGTTTCTGTGTATTAACAGTAATATAAACAATATCTCCTTAGCAGGAACAGAAACTGTTTGGAAAAATCTGAAGGAATGGCCTATTGTCCAGTGACCACAGAAGTCTTAGACTATGATCTCATGGTCTCTCTAGATTTAATCTGATCTTTTTTAGATTTAATATGATTTCTTTAAATTTAGTATGATTTATTATGATCTCATCATCTTTGTAGATTGAGTAGACAATGCCCCAAACACCTCACACAGTGAAATGCACCCAACATAGTGTCATGCCCTATAGGACTATGGAAGTGAATGGTTGGGCATAGATCTGCCCATCTTGTAACCAAATCTGCTAGGATTTGGTTACAAGATTGATAGACTGGTTTGAAATCTAGTATTACCTAAGGGGAGGGGGGGGAAGATGACCCAGATCCCAAATCACAAGCAGCTGGCCATAATAACCAAGATGCAAATAAAATAATCACAAATACAGTAGCTTTTGCCCGCTGTCACTAATGGACATATGTGTTTCGCAGAGCAAATACCTGATAAAACTTGAGCAACTGATAGACTTTATTCAGCAAGACAGTTAAAAAAATACAGTTTTCCTCTGTGACTTGAGACTGTGTCAAGATTTTGAGAGGTATTTAAATGCCTCAACACTTAACTTCAGAAGTGTGTCCTACCCAATGTGATTTTCTCACAGAAGAACTTGTTGCTGGAAACAATCCTTCTGACCAGGAAAAGACAAGTCATCTGAGCAAAACTGCTCTTATGTAAAAGTGTTTGCAGCGTCAGATCCATATAATCTGCACTCTTTGGAAGTCATAGAGTGTTATTTCAGGCTCTTGAGTCAGGCATACCAGTCTTTCAGAGTGTCTTTACTTAAAAACAAATAAAAAACCCTAAAAAATTTAGACATTTTTTAAAGCATATAGTAAGATGGAAACTGTTCAGTGAAAATCTTTTATCAGCTTTATGTGGTTACCTAAGCAGTAAAATACATCCCCATCAATTAGGAGCTATAAAACTTTCTGGGCCTGGGTTTTGGTGGCACATTCTTTAGATTGTGTTCCTGCCCTGGACCCTGCTGATCAGGCGCTTAAGTGCAGTTGGTTTTCTTAATAGACAACAGCAATCAGATCCCTGCTATATATAGAATGGTTTTAAGCATATATGCATGCACATTATATTCATAAGTCAGCAACAAGATTTTACTTCTCTATATGTTGCACCTGAGGATTACATGGGCTAAAATATGAACAGCCAGATAGTAGCCCTGCATGCAGTGCAATATTTTCCGTAGCAGTCAGGCACTTTCCATAATTTTAAGGCTAATCTCAAGAGCTTATTCTTACACCTCTGCCTCTGATTAAAAAAAAAGTGGATCCACTCATCTGTGATTATTCCTGTGCCTTGAATTTCAGATCACTGGGTGGGGTCCTCAGGTATTTGAAACAAGTCAGTGCAAACACTGGCCAGGAACGATGCAGGTATGATCCTGCCTGAGAACAGGAGGGTGGGAGAGCTGGTCTGTCCCTCTTGAGCTGTGTGTGGCTTGTGAGCAGTTCCAGTGCTTGGCACATCACTGGCAGGGAGGCCGCCAAGTAACCCAAACCCCCGACTATCAGAGGAAACAATTCGACAAGGCCAGCATCGCTGTGTGCCCCAGGACACATCTGCCCACCCAGCACCATCACACAGCATTCTCCAAAACCTTTCACTCGCTGAGTTGGTCATTTAGGAGTAAGATGAACTGGTAAATCACTGCATTTTCCCCTGTGTTTCAGGTTCATCACAGGCTCAGGAAGGTGCAGTGTTCCCCAACCTGAACCACTGTCTAATTCCGTCCCCTCCAAAAAGCCCTTCACCTGCATCTGTAACGGGTGTTGCAGCAAGACACTGGAAAATGAGGAACCACAGGGTAAGATGCCTAAAAGTACCCAGCCAAGAGGAGGAGAGGCAGTGGACACAGCGATGCCAGTCAAGGACTCATCAAGAAACTTCAGCCCAGTCTCTGGGCAAAGAACTTGCTCTCCTGAGCCAGCATGGCATGCCGGGTGCCTCCAGATCCCAAGGGCAGGGCCAGCCTGCTGGGAGCACCGGCTGGCGAAGACCTATTTCAGGACCAGCAGCTGTTGGATCAACAAGCATCAGGTATGCACACTGCCGGCAGCACTGCCTGCAGTGTGTCTGGGGAAGACAGAAGGGACTTCACAGCAGGAAAAAGCAGGCTTCTGTGTTGTCTCTGGAGTCTCCTGCCTGTTCTGTAAAAAGAACTTTTATTTGTGCTGACATTTACCTTTGTCCATCTAATGCTAAATGCAACATTTTCTCATGTTCCTTATAGCTTGAGTGTTGGAAATCTTGTATTTTCTTGAATAACAGGCCAGAATTTTCCTGTGTTCTTATTGCTCCACTCTCATGTTCCCCACGCAGGGCCAATGCCCATGTCTGTTGCAGAGCTCTTGCAGTGGTGCTTGTTCAAGACTCTCCTCGGGTAAACCCCAGGACAAATTCCTGACATCCCACTTTGGGTTTTTTCCCTTGAAATTTACATTAATTCATGTTAGAAAGAGCTTTGGAAAATAAAGGAGGCATCAGAGAAGTGTCACATGCACCAAAACATGGTTATTTCTGAACCCGCTTACTGTAAGATTAGCATCATGTTGCTTCTTTGAAGAAATAAAACTGAGGAGTTGTGATATGATACCTTGATTTTGAAGTTAACGTAGACATTATAGAGCAGTATAGGCAGAGAGTGCATGCCTTGTGTGGGAAGCTGGTGTGCATTGTGCTGCTCCCAGGCCTGGCAGTTTTTGGTTCAGTTTTCAGAGCGGGAGATGGCAGAGCTGGTATGGAGAATGCGGATGTCCAGACCCAGAGTGCAATTTCACCACAGTGTTTCTTTCTTTTCCTCAGGCCCATCATGAATGAGAGCTGTCTTGGAGAGATCAACCACCACCAGCCAGCTGTCTGCTCATTGGCAAAAGCCTCGGAGAGGTTTGGGCTGATGAACACTGCTTGGCCCCTGACTGCCAGGGCCATATTGCAGTCCTTGCCAGACAGACCCACTGCCTTAACAACGTCTCGGAACAAAAGTCCCCAGTCCTAGAAGATACCACAGCACAGTCTTGAAGGTTCAATGCTATCTTTCAGCTTCTTCTGCAAGCTAAACGCAGAGTTGTGCAAGTAGAGCAGTTCAAACAAATGACATGATTTGCCTTAATTAAGGCTACAGCTGGTCCAGAAACGCTTTCTTTAAAAAGCACCTGCTGATCAACAGAAGAGCTAATCAACCTCTTATTACAGAAAAACGTGGTTATTTTTGTAGCCTTCATGCACTAAAACGGAACAAGTCCTAATGTATTTCCTCTCATCCACACCATGCCCTGCTCTGTGAGTCAGGCGGGGACACCGAACCAAGCAGAGCGTGGAGCCTGCAGTTTGTGCAGTAGGCTGCAGGAGAGCAGGGACACAGGGCATTCCCTCTCACGCTCAGCCACCTGACCTAGCAGCAGCCCCGCGATGTATCTTTTGCAGTCCTGGATGTTTAACATGCAAGGGACAAAGCCAAGGGCTTGAGAGGAAGCATTGACCAGAGCGGGTTGTAAGGGATGGGTGCGTTGCCTGAGGAAGAGCCCAGGAAGGCTGGGTGGTTTCAGAGTTTTGCCCCCATGGGAGCTCACCCCATTCACAGGCATCCGAGGTTCTTGTTGCCTGCATCGCTACGGGAGTGAATGCTGACCAAATGGCTCATCCCAATATTAATGTGTGTGTTTGCTCTGTAGCTACCTGGAAGGATTTCTCTCACTTCCTATGGATAGATATTGCATACCAGAATTTCATTAGCAAAAGTGACCTCTGTAAGCAGGTGTCAGAGCATCCCCTGCGTATGCTTTTGGAGTCAGGCATGCCACCTCTAGGTTTTTTTAGATCAAATAGACTTTCAAATTTCATGTGACTGAATAATTTTAAGAAATGCTGCAGCAAAGACAAGGCAGGGAAGTAAGGCAATAATCTCTTTGGGTGAGATTCAAAACATCTGTTTTAGTGACTGCAGACTGTGAGATGCTGATCCAGATGACTGTGCCTTACAACTTTATTGATGTTGCAGTCTGATACCAAGCATCAGCACATTTTTTCCAGTTTAAATTACTATGTTAGATATATATTTTTAAATCAGTTGATAAAACAGTAATTACATGATGAGTTAATGAAGTGGTTTATGTCTTCTTTCTACTGGTCAGCTTAACGTACAGGAGCAGAATAATAGAGAGCCTCAAAACTTTGTCTCGTTGTGGTGATACTTGCACCACCTTCTCCTACAAAATAGTCTGGAGCTTGAAGCTAGTTTGCCTGGTTTTGGTGAGTCCTAGAGGAGGCAATCATTCATCAACAATCATTAAAACCTATATGTGGCATGTGATTCTGTGCAATACTATGGATGCAGGCAGGATTTCCCATCAGATGTCACCCAGCAACAGTGCCTGTATCCTTAAACAGGCTCCTAAAATTGACTTTTTGCCAGCATCGCTGACCATGACCATCACCAAAAAAAAATCTGACCTTGTAAGAGTAAAAACAAAGTGGCAGCGTAGTTTTCAGAAATGCTCTGCGCCCTCCCCACCTGCTTGAAGTCCGCAGCCCTCACTGGCAGTTAGCACTGGTGACAGTCAAGCCCTTTTCTATAGCCAGGGTCATATCAGTGGGTGATGGGTGGGACTGTCTTCTCCAAATATTCAGAACCTCCTTCTCAATTTGCATCTTTGATTTCAAAGGGGAGGAGGGGAAGAAGAAGCATAAGTGAGTTTTTGTGCGTGGAAACTGGGGCAGCTAGACAGGTCTGCATGTGTGCATCTGCAGATGCAAAACTCTGGGTATGGATCTGGAAAGTACTCTCAAAAGTGCCTGCGAGCTCATCTCACAGCAAACACAACTTGGCTCTGTATGTGCATGGGGCAAGGAGCTTCTCTGTAGTGGTGGAGAGGGCTTGGAGAAACGATCAGAAAAAAAGCTCTGCCCTCAGGTGTGGGAAGTAAGAGTCACTGAGGGCTTCATCAAAACCGTTTAACTCTGTTTCCTGTTTTAAGTTCCCTTCAGGTACCCCAGTGATATCTCTCAGGGGTGCAGGCAGTGTGTGACCTTCCAAACAGCCACCCCACCCCTTACTAACCGACTCTGCCCCACTGATGGCCTAACCAAGGCAGTCACATGCCATGTAGTGGCATGGCATATGTGTACAGAGACAGGAGAAGATGTCCTCTCTACCTATCGATCACTGCATCAGCTGGTGACCGAGCACTTTCTCAGGTGCGTATCAGTATGTATGGGTATGTAAGACGGGCTCGAAGCCACATGCTCTTGTGTCCTGGCAGTGCCCCTGCGAGGATTTAGTGTCCTGAGCTGACTTGAAGGCCTAAGGAGCAAAGCAGTTGGCATGAGCACTGTGGCTTTAGTGGCACTGTGCTGCAGCAGAAAGCGGCAATGCTGGGAGCTGGGGGCCCTGGGACACTTGCAGGGCAACATCTTGATGCTGCTCTCCTCATTTGAACCTCTGGGTTTTGTGCTGGAAAGCAAAAGCTCTGCTCTCAGATGGACCTTGCAGGCAGGATGCCCCATGCTTATCTGGGAGGCATGCTCGGTCTCAAGCTGCACTGCTGACCACATGCCCAGAGCACAGGGCAGGAGGCCAGAGAAGGACGCTCCCATGCTCAGCGAAGCAACAACACTTAGCTCCTGGGCATTGCTTTCCTGAGGTTGATCTCCAGCTGTGTTACCCAGCAGGGCAGAGACTGGTTTCGGGCATATAGAGAGGAAGGTGAAGTGACTTGGCAGCAGAGCAGTGACATCAGTAGGAATCTGACTTCCCTCCATCATGCACTCTCCTTGTTAATACAGTGTTGGCACAGGGAGTGGAGAAGACTAATTAGCACACGAAAGCTTAGCAGGTAGCGGAGCCAGGCATTGGTGGACAGCTCTGTTGGAGGCATGAGCTTTTTGTGTGCCACCTTCACTCCATCCTATCTGGGCTGTCTGACCTGCTGAGTGGTATGTGCAAGCATATGTGCTCTGAAGCTAAATGCATAACGAGATCCATCACCAGGCTGTCATGCATGGAGCAGCAGGGAGGCTTGTTAAGAGCAAGTGTGCCAATCACAGCCCAACATAACGGGGAAGAAGGGCTGGTAGTCTCCTCTCTGCAGGTAGCAGGTGCACCTCAAGGTTTACCAGAGCTGCCACGCTGTTGGCTGTTGCAGTTTCCAGGACAAGCCAAATAAACAGGGCTGTTGCAGATCAGATGTCCACAGCTATAACAGATCCACAGAGGAAATTGTTGCTCTGGTTTTAGTCTCTGTTTATCCACCTTCCACCTTTTTCATCTAGAAAATGTAAAAGCCAGCCAGGGCTTTAATGGGCTAATTAGGATATGTCAGGCATGATGGGCTACCCATGAATTTGATTCTCTTGGCCCTAAAGGGAAATATTTAGGGAGTTTCATCATGGTTTTCTTGTCACTGTTTCCTCTGTTAAAATCCTGTGTTGGTCCCTTGAATACGGACAAAGTCATTTAATGAACGAGCTGATTCCCATCCCTGTCTTTGCAGACTCTTAATATTTTTCTGCATAGGATCCTTGCTTCTGGTTGGATGCAACCAGTTTCGCATGTACATTACCAGGGTCCATCCCCTCATTCTTGTAATGGGCCAGGAGCTGCTGATGCCTTAATGAGATTTGCTGCTGGCTGCCAAATTGATACCTAGTGTGTAAGCAGGAGAGAGGGATGAGAACTGCTCCCCCCTCACCTATTAAATAATCGGCATCGCAGGGAAGAGTTTTCTGCCAGGAGCTAAGACTCATCAGCACATGCTGCTAAGGGAGGGGGTGGTTAGCTGGGGGCAGCTGCCCTGCAGGGAGCAGGGCTAGGAGCAAAGGGATTTGGCCCAAAGCGACAATGCTGCAGCATTAACAGAAGCACAGGCCATCCAGGAGGCCTCTCAGCATCACTTAGCTGGTGTCCTACGAGCAGCTCTGCTGGAGTGGCTGGTGCTGCCCTGCATACTGAAAGGCTCTGCTCAGCCGGAGCTTTAAAATATAATTGGAGAAAGAAGCAGGAAGCTGCGTGCCAGCCAGCCAGTTATTTCAGTGTCTAAAATTCCTTCCTTTTCCTGAAGGGAGCGTGTCCGGGACAGCATCCCACCCCAATAAATGGACCCTGACAAGCGAAGGCAGCTCCTGCTCAGACTTGGATTGCATTCTGCACCTCCCAGCTCTGCAGAGCCCAGCCCATTGCAAGGACCTTAGCATCCCATTTGGGGACAGGCCAAAGGGGATGCTAGCCCTGTCCAGTGTCCCCATTGCAGCTGTGTGCACAGCCCACCACCTGCACAGGGCTCCTGGCTGTCATGCTTGTTACCAAGGCCGTTACTCTCATTGAAGTCTTAGGGTTGCTTTGCACTTGGAACAAATTCATCTTCATTGCTAGATGAAGAGGAGATACTTTCTTTGGTGGCCAAGGAGGAGAATGCCCAGGAGATGTTGAGGAGGGAAAGTCTCATACACACCTCCTCTTCAAATACATGCAAATGACAGGTCAGCTCAGGATCATTTTCCACATGGTTCCTTGGTTTGCTACTGTGTTCAGAGCCCAACGTGCTCAGGCTCATTGCCATGGGCAGTGTCTGCACCGGTAGGACATGGGCACTTCTGGGGTACGGTTAGTCAGATGGTTCATGGTCCAGTAATGCCAGTCTCTTCATTGATAGAACAGGGTTTGAGATGGCTTAGATGTCTCCTTGGTACCACCCAGTGCCAGGTGAGATTAATCCTGCCCTGCAATAGCTTTCTCAGTATACTAGAGCATCCTGGCCATGTTTTTACTGTTGGCAGCACGTTGCTCCCCTAAAGTTCCCCTGGGGGGTACTGGAAATGTCCTGGCTGAGGCAAAGGACCAGCCTTGAAGAGTGGAGATGGCACAGAGAGCGTGTGACCACTGGGTTGGCGTGCCTTGTGTCAGTGTACATGGCTCCTTGAGCAGGTCTGTGAAGCTTTTGGACCTTCCAGGGAGGCACGGGCCAGGGGGCAGGTAGGGCAGGGCAGCTGCGGGACAGCAAG